ACCTGCTGTGTTTTACATGAGGGCAAGACAACTGACAAATTTGAAGTAACAACTGGTGTCAGACAAGGATGCATACTATCTCCTTTCCTCTTTCTGCTTGCAATTGATTGGACAATGAAGATGGTTACTCTAAGAGAAAAGGAAGGCATACCATGGACACTCACTAGACAACTAGAAGACCTAGACTTTGCCGACGACATATGTCTGATTAGTGCAAATCAAGCACAAATGCAAAGAAAGACAGATAGAGTAGTAAAGCAAGCCAGAAATATTGGCCTTAAAATAAACAAGAAAAAGATAATGAAAATCAACCTGAAAATGGAAAAAGAAATAGTCATCGAAGAAAACAAAATCCAACAAACTGACAACTTCATCTATTTGGGGAGCAATCTCAACAGTAACGGAGATATCGAAACAGAAATACAAAAAAAGAATTGGACTTGCAACAAATGCCTTCAAAATGCTAAACAAAATTTGGAAAGCAAACATATCATGTTAAAGACGAAGCTAAAAATTTATTCAAGTAATGTCAGGTCAGTCCTTTTATATGCAGCAGGCAGTTGGAGAACAAATCGAAAAGTTGAATCAAGATTAAGAGGTTTTGAAGGGAGGTGCCTGAGAAGGATCCTAAACATCAGGTGGCCAGATCGGGTAACAAACATGGAAATTAGGAGAAAAACCCAAATAAATGATATAAACAAGGAGATTCGGAAGAGGAGGTGGAACTGGCTGGGTCATGTGCTTAGACTGAAAAATGATCGTCATCCAAGACAGGCAGAAAGATGGAAACCAATGGGGAAAAGAAAAAGAACGGTGGAAGAAGAAAGAAAACAGATGTCAAAAACAATCAATGAAATATCATGGATGGCCCAGGATAGAGGACGATGGAAATCATTTGTTACTGCCTTATGTGCTTATGAGCATGAAGAGGATTAACTAACTAACCTCCAACCCAACTAATGCACTGCAGACCCACCCAGACACAAACATATCTGCTTTTATAGCATTATTTGGACCCATAAAGTACAAAAATCCTCTTGCTTTGTGGGTTTCGCCGACCCCACCGAGGCTTCGACTGTGGACCTCACTCCCACACCCCCCCCCCGGAAGAACCTGGCTACGGGCCTGTTATAATATATCTATACAATATAACGTAAATCGACGATGTGAATTGGTACTGTTAATTATTACCGTAATTAATACCATTTAATTAGTGTTGCCACAGCCTTCATTAATTACAAAAAAAGATTATTACTCTATCATAATATTTATAGCACCTTTAGTTACCATTATAATACGAAATAAGCGATTCCAATAATATTGAGGACAGCGCTTACCACAAGCATAACTATGAGAACAGTAACGACTGTAGATAGAAATTAATAAAATATATACTAAATTTTTTTTAAAATATCACAAACATGGAAATAGAAAAGATTACATTTAGAAATGTAATTGGATTAAAATTATTGTCACATTAAAATCGAAATTAAATACACAAAAAATGGATGAAAATAAGGTCATACAATAAAAAAGAGAGGAACTCTAAATGGAAGGGGAAACTTGGTTCTTAACAGCAAAAACAAAACTACAGTAAATAAAAATAAGGCAAAGCGATGGTAGGGCAATACACTGGAAAGACATTACATCAAAACGTTTACAACAGGACAAGATTTAAGATAAAAATAACATCAAGATTATTTACTTAATAATTATTGGACAGAAATATGATAAACGACTTATGGGCTAGATGTGGAAAAGGAAACAAAGTTTAAATAGTTCTAGTCACGCATGGACAGTATATTGTCTGGAAATTATGTCTTAAAAGTAGGCCTAACTACCGTTGAATACTTCACATAACAATCCTTCATATCCCGGCTTGTAGTTTCATAAGTATTTGGGTTCAATGTACTTCACAAGCACCGTCATTTTGACAAGAATTGCTTAGCCTTTGGTAAAGAGCAGAATATTATACTAACATAACAATAAATTATAAATTATATATAGACCTATACACAATTAATTATTATTTTTACAATTACAACCCTCCTAATATTATATGATGCAACATAATCAAGTGGTATGAGGTTCAAAGTATTACGCTAACAAAATACTAGGTTACCATTTAGTTTCAAAGGCTATCGATAAATGCTAAATTGATAAAGTAACTTGTAACTAGCAGAAGCCTATGCGATACCGTTATAAATGCTGCAGCTGCTCCCTGAGTAGCCAGTGGGACAGTTACACAACAGTAAGTTTTAAATTTTTTTTTTTTCCATATTAGACAAGGTTTTGAGCTCCGGGGTTGACTTTTTCCCTGGGCTGAACCATGGTGTTTGATTGTTTCCCTGTGATTTTATGCCAAATTGGCAATTTTCCACACCTATTCCCTCCAAAAAAAAATGTTTTGCTTCCAACAATTTTTCTAAACTTCATGTCCATAGTAACAGCTGTACCAAATTTGGCACTTCTGTTTTTCGTTTAAAGATTTTAACCGACACATAAACGATGATGAGCCCTAAAAAAGCTAGTACAAAAATGAAGTTGTGTGTAAAAGAGTTTACAAATCTAATGATTAAAAATAGATTAAATGACTCATAAATCTGAAAATATTTCAAAATGTATCATCATCATTAATATATTGAAGAATTATGTAAATTTCCTATACCGTCATAGGTTTTACCGTCGTCCCCCGGACATGTTCAGTTGCATCTGTCTAATTGCTCATGCAATCCGAAAATACAATATATTTAATCTATTTCAACACTTTATGAAATATGTTACGAAATAAGTAAGTGTTCATGTTTCCACCAGCGGGCCTAGGTATCTTGGTTGGTATACGATTATAAAAACGATCAATCTTGTAAACAGTATCCATTTCGATCAAATATTACAGTAATTCAAAAATTATTAAAATAATTATTGATAATTTTAAAGAATAAAACTTAAATGTACCACATTGGTTAATACACGAGTGATACATGTGTAGTATCTTGTTCGTATACCATGAACACGGTTTACTTATGCACAGGGGTGGCGCCAGCGGGGGGGGGACCCCCGTCGGGGAGAAAAAGCACAATTCGTCTGGGAGAAAAACAATTTATGTATTTTTTACATATTAATAGACTCTAAAATCGATTAATAAGCCTTTGAAACCCTGAATTGTCAAAACTTTCGGGGACTTCGCCCCCAGGACCACTTTCGGAACCTATATATCGAAGCTCGATCACGCCCACTTTGCTTTCGTCTTACCCCTCGTCGGGGCACCGGCCCCCGCCCCCGTCGGGGAAATCCTGGCGTCACCCCTGCTTTTGTAAAAAAAAAAAGTCCACACAAGTAGTTAAAAAAGTGGTGGCCACAGAAATCTTCTGAGGGGTGCAAGGTTCCAGAGAAAGGGGTCACAACACTCATCTCAGCCAACCATAGCCAACTTTACAATAGGAACTTCTTCGTCATTTTAACAAGCTATCACACCGCAGTATTGTACGAATGGATTGATATCCTGTTCCCTTCTTCCAAATCGCAGCTGGAACCGGCACTGGTTAAACTCATCTTATGTACCTTATTCTCCAAGCTAGCACCATATACTTAATCTTGTAGCCTAAAACTTAACCATTGGCGGATCTAGAGGGGGTGAATAGGGTGGCTAGCCACCCCCTTCGTTTACCGTGAAAAGAAAAATAATGGTCACTTGTCTTTTGTGTGTGCTTCTCGTGTACTCTGGTAAAACATACACTTTGTATTTTAAGCTTGCTTCTTTTCAGATGCCATCTAAGATCGTCTAACAGTCTACTAATTCCAAACAAACCTCAAATGGGAGGGGACGCCCTTCTCAAAACCACACCCACCACACCCCCCTCCTTGATCCTTCTCACCTCCCATTATCCTTCCCCTATTGCTAAATACCAGATCTGCCACTGCTTAACCTTCGTAAGACAATCAACCCCAACCCTCAATAACATTATACAGGACAGAGTGAAGTCGACAGTAACACTGCGAAGAGAATATTGAAAAGCAAAAATGAATGACACATACCTTAAATAAAACAGCATAATATACAATGAACATACTGTACAATATTCATTACTGAATTTATTTAAGGTTTATTTTAATAAAAAATCTCATCATCATTAGATGTTTAGAGGGAAGCTTAAAAAGCTCACACAATACATAATACTGTACATATATTTACAATCATTAACACATGCCCAAGTCTCTTAACTGTTTATGGAAGTTAACACCTGAAAAACCTGCTTTTAATTTGTATAGACACGTTAGCAATAACAAAATAGGAATGTTCCTATCTCCCCTCCATTAATTTCAATCTCCCCTCCATTAATTTCAATCAGAATGTTCCAACAGCTTCAGTTTGTAGAAACATAAAGTATATTTTCAGAAATTTTTAATGCATTAGCCCCACATTAAATGTAGTTATTATGTAATTTCAATTACCCATCCACATGTTCTGATTTATGACATTAATTATCTCATCTAGATACTTTTAAAATGTTATCAATGAATTATACCTTAGCCAATATCAGTAAATAAGAATATGTCGCACAGAAACCATCACCAAATCGTTAAAAATTGTTGTGTTAACAGTGAAAGTGGGGAAAATAATAGCATAGCATGATGTATAAAGGTCAGTTTTATGCAATTAACTAGATTTCCAAAATGTTGACATTCCAGGATGTTTTTGTCATTATCTCCGAAACAGGACTTGAGATGAGTGATTGGTTTGGCTTGTCTTTGCCACAATATAAACTGCAAAAATACCTTTTGAGGGCCTTTCCAATACTCTGCCAACTAAATACCTTAGTTTACAATAGTTTTTTCCAGTGCAGTACTGGCTTTGTTATGGGTGCCCTGCTGTGAAATATCAAGGAACTGCAGCGTCAGTCCATGAGTGCATACCTCCTTCCTGTGTATGAATACCAAACAATAGGCAGGCCATGTATGATGAACAATTCCATTATAAATGCTTGTGGGTAAAGTATTGAATTTCTGTGACCTTATAACCTTGTTTTTTTTACCTTTTCAGACAGACAGCACTGAATAAATAAATTCCTTTGGCAGAGTTAGTGAAACAGAAACCCTTTTTTCTTCAGCCAATAGAAGACAGCATAATAAATGGAGGCTCTACATAATTGAAGATCACATGAACATGTGGCACAGCAATGCCAATCATAATAATTTTTTCTTAAATTTCAAGGTATTTTTTGTAGGTATCCATTTTGATCAATTCCAAATTTGTATGAAATTCATCTTTAACAACATTGATTGTTATTAAAATTATATATATACTCTATAAAGATACATTAGCAATATTCCACCTGATCTTACTAGAGTTTGATTAAAAAATAACTTGCATACCATCTTTACATCAAGTAATAACGTTTATCTAGTTGTTCCTGATTCTCAACTCATCTACAATTCCCCAGGCTTCCTCAGTAACTCCTAAATTTTCAGCCATCCTCCCACCTTTCCAACTGCCTCCCAACTAGTGACCCCCCTCTCCCACCTCCAAAATGAACCCTCTCCTTCAGATTATCCCCCTCCCAACTGGAACTCTTCTCGACTAGCTTTTCAAGAGCATGCAGCTACCAAGTTTTGTGCTTCGATATACACATCTTCATTTTGTACGTGATAGAGGATATCAGCGAGTGTGTTCTCTACAGCTGACTGGCTAGCTGCATTCTGGATTGGTTCAAACTCAGCAACATCCGTAGGAGGGTACTTAAAATGAGGCCCAAAGTTGGCCACTACCTAAAAAATAAATCAAATCATATTGGTAGTACATAGAATACATTCAACAGCTAACAAATCAAACTTGAATAGCAGAATTGAGTTTATTAAAACAAAAATTAAAGCATTTTTGCCACATATATAAGGCTTGCCATTCCAAACAATACCAAAAAAAAATGAAAATTTACTGTATTGTTATTCTCCACATTGAAAGCTTCCTTGCTAAAGTTATGAGTAAAAATATTTATGGCTTCCTCCTCTGTATACAATACAATACTGCCACATTCTTATGCTAATTACTCAGTTTAATACCTAGCAACAGTACAATGGTTTTTGGGTGGCAATCCTCATGGTAAACAAGAATGTAGGAATAAAGCCACCCCTGTCCAAAGCCACCCAACAATGGATTATACCATTGTAAGGTAGAGGTGGACAATGGGGTGTCTGTCTTGATGCTGGTCTACAATAGGTTTCTGCTGCAGTGCTAGGAGTGTCTTTGTATCAGCTTTTGTGTATTATGAATTAGAAACTGGGTGTAGTCTACATAGGCATAAACATCATCAGCTTCTCCTAATGATGCAATTGAGTGGTTTCTAGAAGGAAATGTATTTTTTTTTTTTTTACAGTCAACATTTTATTCATTTTACAGTGTACCATAATATTAATTTCCCTTACACAGGCATAAACAGCTTCTCTTAATTATGCAATTAAGTGGAAATGTATTTTTTCTAACTTTTTTTCTTTTTTCAGTAGTATTAATATTATTTTTTTATTATAATACAATTTTTTGAGAAATTACTATTAATTATTGAACTAAAAAAATGAATAAGTAGGACATTTCGATGACAATGCCTTTATGTTATATGTATGGCCAGACAAATTGAATTTCCACAATTGAGTTACCTTCTACTGCAAGTCATGATAAATTTATGATTGAGAGGCATTTATATCCCACTATAATCATTAACATAGTAAACACCTTACTTTGATTGCTGTTACTTCTGATACAATTAAGAATAATAAATAATCAAAAAAGTGAGAAAAAGAAAATATAGTCTTGCATTACAGTATACAAGATATAACAAAAGTAAAGTATACCTTGTTTTTTACCTGATAAAATACTGTCTATTAATTATATCAATAGAAATGAAAGTATGTATAAAAACATAAATCAATATTATCATATAAAAATTTAAAAAAAAAACCCCACTCAATTGCATCATTAGAAGCTGATGACGTTTATGCCTATGTAGACTACACCCAGTTTCTAATTCATAATACACAAAAGCTGATACAAAGACACTCCTAGCACTGCAGCAGAAACCTATTGGAGACCAGCATCAAGACAAACACCCCATTGTCCACCCCTACATTACAATGGTATAATCCACTGTTGGGTGGCTTTGGACAGGGGTGGCTTTATTCCGATTTCCCAACATCCAGTAAACAAATTGTACTTTTAACTGCATTTGTATACTAGCGAGAATTCTGTTAAGTAATTTTTTTACACAAATATATGGTAAACAGTTTATTCTTACCACTGCATTTTTGTAAGTTGATATTGCTGGATAGTATGTTCCTTCATAGACGTCCTCCCATGCAATACCTTGACTCACACCATTTTTATAGAATATTATCTGTGGTGAAATATAAAAGTCAATGATGAAGATAATATCAGCAATGATAACAAAAAAATTGTTACAGTAATTAAAAGAATAATTATAGGTCACATTCTTGACGGTATGCAATATTATTATATACCTCGTATATGGATTCAGGCATCTGATTGGCAATAGAAAGTGCTATTTCCCCTCGAAAATACTATTCCCCTGGAAAAATAGTACTTTTTTGTCCTGTCGCATGTGCAAACTCGAGGCCTACGACGAAAGTGATTCGCCATAGGCCGTGCCACTGATCAGCGAGCAGACGATAAACCAGACCTGCCAACTCACCCGATCCTGTCAGGTGTCACCCGATATTTAAACAAATCTCCATTTCTCCAATCGAATGTAATTTTCAAATTTCACAGGCCACCCCCTCTCCAAAAATATTCCGATTTATGCATAATTTTATTTGATTGATTTAATCGTGATTATTCAATGTACTGTGTCGCGGTGCAATAAACAAGCAGCCATTTTCAATTGGAATGTCATCACCAACGTCCAATGATTTGTAGTGACGTGACTTTTTTGGTATCTTGCATCATCTTTTGGTTAATTCTGGAGACCTCCAAATTTTTTGGTAAATTTCCAGATTTTTTTATGATTCTTAAAAAATCTCCAGATTTTCATGACCCTGATAAAAAAAGGTCTGATAAAAAAATATGAGGCTAGGCCTAGTCGTTTGAGCTCCTGGATGAAGGACTAGCCTAGGCCTAGCATTACTTCTTGATGAAGCCGATAGCAAAAGCACCAAAAGACAAATTAAATATGTCTTGTCAATGTTGGACAAATATTGGAAGATGATGGGTGCTGTTGAAATTGAGGAAATGAGCAAAGAAGAGCTAGACACACTCTTGGATTGCCCACGCTTGTATGTAGGCCTCTAGGTTAGGCTAGAAAGCAAGCATTATTTAGGCCTCATAGAATCTATGTATGAGGTATATAAAACAAATATTGTCTGCTCTAGATTCAAGGAATGGTGAAATATATGGCCCCGAGGTGATTTAGAGACCGTAGGCTATCTTCTCTCGGACCTTCGGCCTCTCGGGAAGATAGGCTAGTCTCCACATCACCTCGGGGCAATAAATTTCACCATCCCCCTCATAAGCAGTCAATATTTGGATATTTGAATATTGCAAACTTACACATTGTAGCAGTTTTTTGGTCAGTTATGGTTCAGTATAGCTATTGCATGTTATTGTATTTTTTTTAAAACTACCTATAGACTTGCAGTACATAACTTAAACCTCTCTGTTGTCTGTCTGACTAACCTGACTTCCTTCAGCTTTCTGTAGACGTTGCTCAACTTCTTGAATTGGATCTTTCTCCTCAAAATACAGATGACTCTTGAACTTTATCAAAGCCTAGAAAAAAAATCAAATATAGAGATGTCATATTACACCCAAATATGGGCATATCACATTTTTGTGTCACACAAAATTTGTGAGTTTGGACAGAGTTTAAGGCATTTCATGTTTAGCCAGTAGAATTCATCTAATTTCCTTTCGCCACTCCTTTGGTGGTGCATGTACAGTAAGCGGTGCCTGAGCCACAAGCCAACAAAGGTGGAAATTACTAGAGGCCAGCATAAACGCCAAAGATATTACAAGTTCAAGAGGTCTGACTATCGGGGTTACGTTAGAACGTAATCCAATTCCAAAAGGTACTACCATGAACTAGAGGACGTCTGTCAAAAGGCGAGTTTAGAACTATATTCAAATTCAAATAGGGCGCCCCTTATCTCATTGTAGTACTCTTTTTAACGTTTCACTACAGGCATACAAAATCAGACCTCTTGCAAATTCTATACTCTTTGATAAGGCCTTATGTGGAGTACCCGTATAAACATGCAACATAGAGGGAGTAACAATTCTCAATTTCTGGAAGTTATCGTGAACTCACGTTTTTCAGCAAATTGTTTTCAAAAGCAGTCTTTTAATATCATAACATGTGAAATAAGGGCTGTGAGTGTGAGCATACTCTTTTTTTAGGATGCATTTCCTATTATTTTACACAGCATGTCTATGATAATTAGTGAAAGCGCAATTTTAACCTAATCTTAAGAATGGGCAAATCTGAGTTATAGCCAGCAAAATAAACATGTAGTTTACTATTGTTCATATAAGCACCTTAGGCTGTAAAATTATTAATTATATAAGTTGAGAAATTAGTACAATGTTAGGTGGAAGCGGTTTCGTGCAGCGGGAAAGGTTTGGTTACCCAACCTTTGGTTACCCAACCTTGGGGTCGGGGTTTCAATGTTTCCCTGTGAATTTCACTTGTGTCCTTGAGCAAGGCACTTTATCTGCATTGCTTCTTCAGATGGTACATCAATCTCGCAACAGTCAGTTTGGACAAAAAATTCACTGTCGCATGTTAAGTTAAAAATATGTTAAATAAGAATTTGTGAGTCTACATTTAGCCATGTCTACTGCCCTCTATCTTGTAGTATAGTACAATTTGGCATGTAACCACAATTTACACACTGACATGCCAGTTGATCATTAGCTAAACACATAATTATGATTTCATTTGATGGGGCTGTCAGTTTGACACTCACCTTATCCTTGCAGGTGGGAGGTAAGAGTTTCTCTGGTGGTAGATTATCAGGTAATTTGATGAGGAATCCAAGCACATCACCACTGGTATAACCCTCACTGTAATGCTTCCCTCTACTACAGTGGAACTTTGTCCCTTTTTTACTTCTCCAAGAGTAGCTGAATTTATCGTAACCAAGAGGAGCTTGCAGATTGCCTAATGAATTCAGAAGAGCATCAATTTATTGTCAAGCATATTAAAAACAACAACATATACACAATGTATCATCAACAACATTATCTTGAAAAAAAAAAAAACACACAACAAAAGTATCTGTACACAAAAACTTAGTCAGTTCAATTTTGAGGAAGTCACAAAGAGCACCCTGACGGTGAACTTGTTTTTACTTTTGAGCAATCCAGTCAAGTTTTTTTTATGATTCTTTTAGCTTTTATTTTTCAAACGTTGTATTTCCATCTTGTTATCTTGTTTGTCTTTGTCGACGAAATAAATGATATGATATGATCATTATCATCCACTTCAACTATCATCATCATTACCTTTAACCACCATAATCAAATACTTCATCATCACTGCCATCATCATTACCATAGTCGAATATAACCTTAATCCTTATATCATAAAATAATTATAAAATATTATTTAATTCATGTGCACATCATTACTACCATCATCATGATTTTCTTCATTATTGTCATTTCCCTCGTCATCTTCTACATCGTTGTCATACTCACTATCCTTACATTTGCTCTCAATAAATACATGTCTTTCCTCCAATTAAAGACCCCTTTTCTGTGGTCCCAAATTAACAACTGTCTTTTATCTTATTATTAACGTGAAATAATAATATGTAAGTCTTATATAACGCATTGTACAAGAAATTGCCTCTATGCGCTTTACATGAACAAAAAGAAAAGTAACCATGAAATATCCTAATACTACAAGGAAAATCAAACAAAGCAAATGCAAGTAAGCAATATTCTGATTAATTATTCAATTACAGACCAAACCTGCTAAAGACCATAAAATCATCGGTCCCAAAAGTAGTCTTTAATTGGAGGGAGACCTGTACTTAAATTGTATTCAAAAGAAAAGCATTACCTAATGAGAGAGACCATCCGATTCGTGTACACGTCTCTGGAGGCATTTCTTCAATAGTCACCTCATAGTACCAGCAGCCACGGTTCACACCATGTGTCGCCCTCACCATGCTATAGCCTTTCTCTCCAGTCACTGATAATCTTTCATCAGAAATCTTCAACTGTGGGGCTACAAGACAAACATTGTAAACCAATATCAACATATATAAGATTACATCGATTGAGAGGTACAGGGGCAGATCCAGAGATGTTCAAAAGGGGGAAAGGGCCGGAAGAGGGGCCGATCGAGATAACAATACTCTAGGCAGTCCGGGGACATGACCTCGCAAAAATTGCTGTGTTCTAGATGCCTGAAAATAACCTCTGAGGCCTTTTGGGCTACCAATTTTGATTTTTTTCTTTCTTTTTTATTTTTTGACTTTGCAAAAGTGTGGGGGGGGGGGTGTGCCAGGCCGGCCACCCTCTAAATCCACCACTGAGGTAGACGATTCAGAGTTTTGGGGAAGTGAAGAGCAAAAAGGCTGACCTGAGCACACATGAAAAATATGTGCATGTTAAAGACATCTATATATATATATTGAGTTTGTAAAAATGGACGTACATAGCCCTAATGTTCCTTGCATTTTTACAGTAGTGCAGTACACTTAATTCAAGAGGTGGTCCTGCCAGTGAACTTGATTCCTTGTTGTGACTACTGCTTAACACCTCAATACTGGGACCAGGGGTAAATTTAGAATATGGGAATCAGCACAGTAGAGGATGGTACTGCACATGTAAAACCTATTTTAGTATGGAAGTTTCAGTTTTGGCAGTCAAAACTGTGGTAATGAAAGACAGTGCTGCAGCTTTGCAATTTATTTTAAAAATAGAAATTTCAATTTTGGCAATCAAACTAGAACGTTCTCCAAGTGCCCTTCTGAAAACACTGGGAACAGCACCACCATCATGCTGACCTACAGACAAATCCAATTAGGAAATGGCGCTCTCTGTTGGCGCCACTATCGCTGGGGACCTCCTTGGGGACCCCACGTGCTTGTCATTTCCATGTACAGTGATGCAAAATATTTAGAGTACATTACAATTGAAAGAACATACTGAACATACAATAGTTCCAGTACATATGTAGCAGATGATGCTTAAGAATACCCCACCAGAAGCCCCCAGCTGTGGCATCTGCAGAAGGAGAATAATCACTGTAAATATACCATAGCCTTATCAACACTGAGAACTGATACATACCTCTGTCATGCAGTGCTAGAAGAACCTCTGTACTCAGAGCTGCTCTGTACAAGTGGGCTGGAATGGGTTTGCCTATGAACTGGTCATGGTCGAATGTAGTAGCTGGGGAATGAGGGTCTGACTCTGTCAGGATGTAGCGGTAGCCATCCTTGTTGTAAGGATGCTCCATTGGGTATCCATGAGGTGGAAGCTTCTGGGATGCAGAAAGATCACTGGATGTATGGAAATAAATCAGAGAAATATACACAATTATAAAATTCAAATATCATTTCTTTTCTAAAGGTCATTGTAAGAATGTATCATCAGTGACTTAGCAATTTTTATATAATTTTTACATTTTAAAGATGCTTATTAGGTCACATGCAGACAGTGGTCAGTATTTAAGTGTGAATAGTCTTCAGAATATCTGAGAAAAATCTCAATCCTTTAGAATTGGTATTTAGATGAATTTACATATTATAAATAATTTAATTTTAAAACATGTTATTATTTAAGGTTCCTTTGGCATTTAATAATGTTTTTACTTCAATATTATGTAAAATCTTTGCATGTTTTTTCTTTTGCCAGTGGAAAAATAATTTCCATTTAAATTGGTTCTAACTCTCCTGAAAGTGAAATACAGAACAGGTCATTGAATTGACCACATCCAATCAATGCCTTTTTCATGTGCCTTTTAGTTTATCTACTGTACACCAGCACTGAAAATGCCTTTGCACGCCTATAGTATGGCAAGTATCAACAGATTTTCTCCTTCATTACCAGTCTTACCTCCGTGTTTTTTTGCTGGACACCAGGTTCTGACTGCTCTCTAGGCCACCTTTCCTCTTGCTACTTCGACCTTTGCCTGAAGAACTTAGGTTACCAGAGTTGAAAGATCCAGTAAGTAGGGAACCATTTTTCTGGCCTAATTCGTTTTTTCCTTGTAATGTCTGTTTTTCATAGCTGGGACCAACTTTAGATAGATCCTTCAATTAAAAAAAATGGGAGATTTATATATGCCCATGAGATAACAATTCATTCATTCATTTATTCATTCAATACACATTTACTCACAAAATAACACAAGTAAGTCGACTTAATAGAAACTATATAATGCACACCCTTTAATCATTGATAGAGAAGTGTGGGCTCGCTCTAAGTTCTTGCATGAACACATGACTGACACTTCCACTTCGGTTTAAGCCCCATTTGCACCTTGTCTCATATTTGCAGGATTGTCATCTCCAAGCCTAGAGGCTTCAGACAATCTGTGAATTTGGTAGAATCATCGAACAAGATGCAATTTTTGAAGGAATTACAAAATTATCAACTTTCTTCTATATTATAATGCTTGGCACATAAGAACTAATATGAATGGAGGGTCCACGCTAAGACTTGGCTGTGGACAATCTACGAGGGAAGCTTAGCTCAGTCGGCTAAACTGGTGGTAGCCACTGTGTGTGCACTGTACCATGAAAATCTCTAGGTCCCCGGCTCAATTCCCATCGCTGCTCTAATCCAGTTTCAGCTGGAGGGCTGAAATACAAGTTAGAATAGCGCACCGTCTTTCGGATGAGACATTTAAGCCGTTGGTCCCGTGTGCATTATGGCCTGTGTGCACGTTAAAGAACGCAGTACACTGTTCAGAAAAGAGTAGGGGACTGTCTCTCGGTGTACTGCCCAATCACCACAAGAAGGACCCCAATGGAAATAAGTCTTATTTTGTGGGTTATCCTTGGTGTTTACATCGAATAAATCCATCCATTCGTCCAATCTAACAATCTAATAAGTACTGTAAGTAGTAAGCAAGTAGTTATGTAGGCAGGTTTTTCTTACATCATCTGCAAGTCCAAACAGTGGGAAGTCCTCTTCATTTTCATCATCAAGTGTTGGTTTCTCCTTTGAAATGAAAAGGTCTTGATTGCTCTGAAACAAGAAAGCAATAATAAATATATTAGTGACTTACTGTATAAGATCCCTTTCGCAAACAAAGCCCATCACAGACCTGTATGACACAGTCCGGCACGATTTATCAACATAAATGCATTAAGTCATCATGTACAGTGGCGGCTCTAGGATATATTTTCGGGGGGCTGGGCTGAGCTGTCTAACCAAGCTGGGGGAGAGGTTTGAGGGTATTCCCTCTACCAAATGAGATTTTTTTAAGAATAGGAACCTCTGGATGGCCAGAAATGACACTCTCTGATGGTGACAGACATGTGTTGGCTTGGCGTGGGCCTATTTTAATATATTTTTTAGTCCAACTGCTTGACGAGCTGTCCAATGGGGGAGCTTGATCTTTCCGGTGGGGGGGGGGGGGGAGACAGGGCTTAATCCCCTACTTCCCCCCACACCCTGGTGCCACCACTGATCATGTGACTGTGTTGGGGCAAGTCGTAGAATATTAAACATGTTCACACACTTCCCTGAGACAGTCCCCTATGATAAATCACATCGGGCTGCGCCATATGACTCCGTCTGAGTTGGCCTTAAGAAACATAACCTACATTTTCAGAATATTGTAAAAAGGATTTTTTTAGTGACCAAAAACACAATAGGGAGGTTTCGCAAGCTTACAAAACAAAAACCAATACGGCTAAGTCATCAAATGTTTAGTCAATCCAACATAGGCCATCCATGCATCTTACACAAATCAACGATCACATTCAGCTCTCATATGTATTTCAAGAATGCTTTTGGCACAAATGATGATAATGAAGATGACGCATTTGTATTCGTTGCAAAAACTCCCTAATGTCTACAAGATCAACAGCTTCACGTTGAATCCAAATGATGAGGTCATTAAGAATCTATCAGTTTGGCATATTTTGCCTACATCCAATGTAGCAAGCATTCTGGTACATATTCGTCATTGTTTTACCCAATAATTATAATCTGTACTTGTTTATATTGACTTATTTTTCACACCATACGCTGAAATGAACACAATTGACAAATTTTGCGTACCATAGCCTTGACTATTGAATTGTGCCATGTAGTGGTGCTTCTCCGAGACATAGCACTTAAATACTCCCAGTGTCTGTTGATGTAGGGTATGAGTTCTTTATCTTTGGAGAACATACGCTTAGGTTTATCAGCCTTCCTTTGTTGATGGGTGAGATTTGCAAGAGCAGCAACACACAGCTGACTGAAATCTGAATTTTAAAATGGCATTAAATGAATAAAATTTATTGCACTATTAACATTTTAATTTAGGTATTATACTTTTAGTAAGTATGGAAAATCATATGTAAAATGTAAACAAATAAATGCTATCAACTTTTATTAACTACATTATTGATCACTTATGCTCTTTCTTGCATGGGTATTACATATGCCACTCACTATCAATTTCATATGTTGTTTTAGAAGTGTACAATTCATTCTTAAAAATTTAACAGGTGTTTAAATTTTAATCATTTTAAGCAATTCCATATTTCTCAATTATGACATAGATATTCATTACTCTATCTTGGGTGCCACTCCAAATTTTTCAAAGGTTGGCTGATCAATTTCACGACTTTTTATGTTCCTTGACTTGTGAAAGCGTGATTACCGTTATCATGAGTATACTGGAAATGGGCATTCGTATCAGAACAAATAGAATAAAATAAAACTTACCCATTGTACTGATCAATATCTAAAATTTTTGGATAAAATATTGTAATAAAAATATTACATTGTAGAAGAATTATAAACTGGTATACAGTTGTTGACTGTTTGAAGAAGGTTACAAATATACCTACTACATGTTTTTTTGGTGAACTGCTCTGTGTTGGACGGATGGCATACACGGCAAGTGAAAGAATACGCTGTCATGAAAGACATACAGTAACTGAAAAGATTGCGAAGTAAAACAAATAATGAAAATGTATTTATGTTATATTTTATAATCATTTAATTCACAACTTGCTAATTACAGGCAAGTTAATGAGGCTTTAGGAGTTGAGTTGATTTTAGTTTTGAAGAGAAACCCTGCTGCCACAGGAATTTAATCCAGGACCTTAAGATTGGAAGGAAAGCATCTTAACCATTAAGCTATACAATGTACCTCATTTACCATTTACTGTATATACTCACGTATAAGGCAACCCACGCATAAGACGACAACCAAGTTTGGGAAGATTTTTGTATGTCGGGCGTATTAGACGACCCCCCCACACCCTTTCAATGTGGGAATTCATACATTTTTGCTGCTCTTTATGATCTTGACCCTGCACCTAGCTGGCTAAAAATGGAGCCAAATGTGGGGCTAAATCTTAAAAATCTTATTTCCCAGTATTTAAAATTGTATTCATTCATACTAACATTTAGTAGCTTAATTCAGTGGTAAATTTCCATGTTACAGACAATCTGCAGACGAGTGATTTAAAAAACCTAATATTTGTATGTCGCGTGTATAAGACCTGTTTTTTTTTTTATCATAATTTGCTATTTTAAGCTTTGTCTTATACGAGTATATGCAGTATATATTGTTTGCCATAGAATCACAAAAATATATTGATTTTGAAGTTGATTTGCTTATTTTTAAGAATAAAATCAAAAACCTATTGAAACTATTCTACTTGGATAGTTTAAATAATTTGTTTATACCGAACTTACCCAATATTGATTGAGAGACACCCTGCATGAAACCACTTCAGGCAACCACTACACTGAAGTTCAACGCCCTCTAAAGTCCTCTCTTTGCCGCTGCAAATTAAATAATAATTAAGAATTAACTTCCTTCTTATTCATGTAATCATTAATTTTTTGGAAGGGGAGACAGATAGAATTTATTGCATATCATTTTTGTTTCTAATTATTTATGCTGTTGATAAATACCTCAAGTGTACAATAGGCCATATATAAATCATTGTTCTTATATCATTTGTCATTATTACAATAGGTTTAAATTCATTTATTCAGTGATTTATATATAAATGTATTTATATAGCAACTCTTGAAAAACAATTATTCTATACACTAATAAGGATTAATTTTCAGTAATATTTAATTAATTTAAAAAAAGGCAATCAGAAATCACTGGGAGAATCAATGTTACAGTTTAAGCATACTACACTACATACAGTGATACTGCCCTGTGTAACTTCATGTACATTACAAACCAATTAACAACCTTCAACTAGGTTTGAGACATCGGATTATAATAGTATTGTATCCCCCAATGTTTGTTACTACACTGGCCTCTCTCTGCGGACAATCTCATTCACTAACTACCAACTTATTAATTTTCAGATGTCAAGGCACAGAAAGTAATTACCTTTAAAGTGCAGGGCAGGTGTGTTACATGCAATAATTACTTTATGTTCCATCAATTTTAAGGTGCTTGTAAAGATTAAAAACACCTTTTACACATATAATTACAATGATTCAGAAGGTGTTTGAACTTGGTTTACAATTGCTCAATACATAATCACTATTCTAAAATTACAATTACAAGTCTGTTGATGATGTGGGACCGTTTTTGTATATTTCATACATAATTTTTTTTAAATAAATAAAAATTGGTATACCCCTGAATGATTGAATCATATGAATTATCATAATACTGTATTGTTGTGCAACTGCATTCCTGTAAATGTTTCTTTACTTGTGAACACAATTATACAATAAAAATTATTTTAGTTACCAATAGCACTCCTCTTCCTTCATCTTTTCATCTCCATATTCACTCTCTTGCGAGACGTTTTCTTTTTCATCTTCATTGGCAGTGCTGATACTGTCAGTAGTTTCAGAAGCTGTATCAACTGGATCAATTATCTTGGTTTCTGCTTCCTTTGTTTCGAATTCTTTTGACTTTGATACTTCGGATTCGCTCATTTTCTCGGTTTGTTGGTCTTTCATTTCGGTCTCTTTCACCTCAGGTTCCTGCTCAGCCACCGGAACTACGACTTCACTTGTCGCAGTGACTTCTGTTGTTTCCTGTGTATCCATAGATACCTCTTCTGATAAACCCACTGTGACTGAGGCTTCCTGATCATCGGTTTGTTTTTCATCCTCTTTCATGAGGTGAGTTCCTTCTTCATCCTCTTTCATGTGGTCAGTTCCTTTTTCGTCAGTTTCCATTTCTTTGGCTTCCACTTTATCCAGTTTCTTTTCCACTATTTCTTTATCTGCTTCCTGGACACTTGGTTCTGGTGAACTTGTCTCGGGGATAACCACGTCCTTAAAAAGTGTTTCTTTAACACTTGTTTCCTGGACAATTGTTACCTTGGAAATATTTTCCTCAAGTTCTGGTTGATTGGTTTCTGGTTGCTTTGTTTCTGGATCCTTGGTGTCTTGTTCCTTGGTTTCTGGTTCCTTGGTTTCAAGTTCATTACCAGCTGAATCCATTGGTTCACTTTCGGAGGTACCTTTGTCAGTTTTCTCTGTTTGATCAGTTTCCATAGGCATTTCTGATTCAGTCTCCATAGCAACAGAGCTGTAAATAACAAGATCACCTCATCTTTAATTCAAATAGAAAGTAAAAAAAATAATAATAAAAATAATTTAAAAATAAATATAAATTAGAGAAGAGAAAATTAGTTAAAATCCTTTGATTTTTGTCAATCTAGTTTGCAGGCTTCAAGTAAAATATCACAAGTTAATATACTGCACAGAAAGAAAGGCAGTTGAAAAATACTTTTTCAATTACAATACAAATCACTCAACTTGAATAGTGTCCCAATGATACAAAACATTATAGACACACTCAGAAATTAAAACTGTTTTGTTTAGGCAGCGCTACCATTACTAAAAAATAATGGTGCTTTGATAATTAACATTTGGAGCAGCATTTACTGTACTGTATATGAAGTGGTGCATATTTTAGGTGTTTTTTTATCATTCATTGTATATGGAAAATTCACATCTTGGAAAGTACAAGGACTTACAAAAAAATATACACGGGTGGCCACAGATAAACATAAAGCACTTTGTTTATGGACACAAACCAAATGGAAATTATAGAATCCTGACACAACAACCAAACTCAAAGCTGAGAACTACCTTTTCGCAAAATGCAAAAGAAATCCTTTAAATGACCTTAAGTGACTGTGCAAAAGAATATCACTTTCTGTCCTAATCTAAACACTCCTTGCCGTTTTAAAACATACACCCAAGAGATTTAGCATTAAGTGTATCAGCTACACAATTTTGTCTAAATTTTGTTTACAATTTCTTATCTTTCATACCCCTAGCTTTCATCATCTATATTTAGAGACGTCAAGAGGAGATGTGTGTATCTGGCAACATTACTGCAGGCTTGTTTGTCAATCTTGCTGGGACACAAGGATAGAATCACATCAATCGCTGGCACGCTCTAGCGCTATACAGTGGATCTTTCAACATCATCCATTGATGTATTTTCTTAACAAATTCAAGGAAATATTAAAGATTAAGATGATCAGAAATGTAGAGGAAATTACAGAGCTTTCATTTGCGCGCCGAAGGTAAGATTTAAAACGCAACGACGTCACGTACAGTCATCTGTGCATGTGGGGACGTACAGGTCTCATCTAAATTTGAGGATTGCCTTCTGCAGAGAACACTGTCTGGTCACACAAGAGTGAATCTGTCCTAGGGTCACGTTACTGCTCGAATCGAAACTACACGTTCTAATACAAAGCAGTGAATTCTATCCTTGAGGATTGCCTTGTGCAGAGAACACTGACTGGTCACACATGAGTGAATCTGTCCTGGGTCACGTTACTGCTCAAATCGAAACTACACGTTCTGATACAAAGCAGTGAACTACTACAGACATGAACTCTTAATCAAATTAAGATAAAACTAATCTCATTCTAACAAGATTATTTCATGAAATTATCTCAATACTTACATAATATTTAAATTATAATTCAAATTTTATATTATAAAAAAAGCAATCAAAGCAGTTTATATAATGAAAATAAATATTTATCATCATTTGCATTAACAATTTTATTTACCGTACTTTATATTTATGTAGTAAATTGGGAAATAATGTACTGCTGATTGGATTTCCAAGGGACTTTGCTAACCTTGTTTGTCTTTCTCAACCAAGACACAGAAAATGAAGCGATGATTAGTCATAAAACTAACCTGTAAAGCAAAAACTTCCTCACTGTAATGAAAACAAACCCAGATGAATATAGGTGGTTGTATACAGTATTATTAATACACAGTACAAGCTGTCCTCTCTGCATATCTCATAAATACAGAAGTTGTTGACCATGATTCATCCATCCATATAGAGTCAACTATTAACCAGCCAAGATGGGGAGCCATGTGTCGAAAAATAAACACAGCATTTTGCCAGGCTACGAAAGTGAGTTCAAGAAAGCGGACATACTGCAGATGTGGCACTTGCCGAGTTCTACGGATGGTAGGTTTTTGACGCTATCCACAATCCTAAACGAGTCATTTACAGGGCTTCTGTACTGTAGTTAGTATTTTCATAAACTGTTTATGATTTTGGTAGAATTAAAGTACTGTACAGTACAAAAAGGAAAGGAACTGGCCACCCTACCAAACAATACCAATACTTGTACGATGGGCTAACAGCTCATTAGCCATGTGTTTAGTAATGAATACAGGACTACCTTTACACAAAGAGCATAGAACTGCAAGAGGTGCAGCTCTCGTGGTGTTGTTGGAACATAATCCTATTTCAAAAAGTACTGCCACGAAGGGGCATGTCCTTAAAAGGCGAGTTTTGAGCGAACTCTTCAAATTCTAATAGTACACACACAACTCTGCATACTGTATTTCAAACATCGAATGCATAGGAGTTAGCGCTCTAGTATCTTTATTGTGTAACTCTATGGTAATATTTCATACTCCACCATCTTGGTTTTAGGACGCCCTTTCTAATTTCATATTAAACCAGGGCTAAACCTGACACTAACCGTTGCCCTGTAACAACCTCTCGCTTCTCTTATTGCTACTGTATACCATGTTTCAAACTTGGAATAGATTTTGCCACGCCAATAAACTGATTAATTTTAGCTAATATGACAGCATATTCTTAATCTCCCTAGGGAATATCAAATTTTCATAAAAATAAGAATTCATAATTTGAAAAAAATTGTTTTATGTTTACACACTTTGTTAGAGGGTCAGAGCTCCGCACTGTTGATGTTGTGTGCAGTTTGTGCTTTTTACTTATTTTGAGTCACTGATGTTGTTTCACACTCGTTTTAAACTGTGAGCATAGTATTTGACTGAATGCGACTTTTCTCTCTTCCTTTGGGAGCGAAATACAGAGGCTTTTACAATAATTTCCCCACTTGTTCCATGAAATAGATTAACACTATGAATATATGATTCATTTGTATAACGCCTACCCTGAACTATCTTTCTTAAAGAAGGTTGATAGCAAAGAAAATGTTCGCCAACTCGGCAAGTCTAGCCGCCATTGTCTAAGGTTTTTGTGACTTTGTGGGCGGGGCTTTGCGTCCTTGTCGACATGTAAATTGTCGTATAGTATAGGTTTTAAAATCTATTGATACTAATATTAACTTATATTATTAGATTATGATTTAACATAATGTATTTTTTGGGAGTAGCAGTATGGCAATTCCGATGTTTTGTGTGGTATACGGTCGGTCGGTAGCTGCCAATAAAAAAATAAGAATAAAAATTTCCTTTATTATTAATTATTTACCACTACTAAAAATTAATGAATATGGATTAGTCTGTAGCTTGCTTCTAGGCCGCTTTCAGGTTAACCTCCATAGCCTCTAGGCCAATAGACTACAGTAGGCTAAAATTATTACAGAAATATTATTAAATTGAACATTAATTTGATTAACTGATGGATAAGTTGACAAATAAATTATATACATGTAGATTAAATTAATGACTATTTAACAATAAATTTTAGAAATACTACTCTTGGAATAGTCCATTAGTTACTCAGGCGCCAAACTGTAGAATATTCTTCCTGTCTGCATAAAACAATCATCAAATTTACATTTATTTAAAAAAAAAATAAAATGTCACAATAGATCATCTTTAGGTCTATATCTGATCTGAAGTACTTAACCTGTAAATACAATGTTTGTGTTTCTTTTTTCTTTAAATTTATTTCTTTTTAAAAAATTTATTTTATTGATTTATTGATTGATTGATTGAATACTTTTTTAATTTTTATTTATTTTTTTGTTATTTTATTTATTTATTTATTGTTTAGCTTTATTGTTATTATTATAAAATAATTATAGTGTTTCCTAAATTTTAATTACCTGTATGTATTAATTCTTTCACAATGGTCTCAGCTTAAAAGCTTTGCTTTATTTGAGTTCCCTTTTCCATTATTCTTGAATCAGAATCAAGTTTACTTTACTGTTACTTTATGACTGAATTGAAATATGTATTAATTTGGGTATTTGACCAGTTTTTCAAAATCCAGTTTGCTGAAACCCATTTTGCCAAGTCCATGGCCACTTTGCTGAAAAACAGTTTGCCGAATCCAGTTCACTGAATTCATGACAACCCAGTTTGAAAAAACCCAGTTTGCCGAAACTTAGTTTGCCAATACATGGTAAGAAAATGCTCCATCATTAATTTCATGCTGCTGTTAATATTTTACTGAGTTTAATTGACTTTCGGCAAACTGGATTCCGACAAACAGGGAATTATATTTTTTGGAGTTGGCAAACTGGCAATCGGCAATCTGGGTTTCTACAATCTTTTCTAGATCCATTAATTAGGGCCTGGGCCTAGTCACACATTTTAAATAAACATCCACTACATCTCACACCTACTGTACGTTGTATCATCTTACACATCATAACATCCTTATATAAAGATACTGTAAAATGTATAGGCCAATTATACCCTAAAATACAGGCCACATAAATTTCTTTCAAAGAAGCTATACCAACTGACCATAAGGCCAAAAAAAAAAATTTTGTTTGCCCTACTTACATTTACTTGCCCAATGCAAGTTTATTAAAGTATGACTGCGCATGCATTGTTTCATATTATGTAAATATATCATTTACTGATTTGTTTACGGCAACGTAAATATATCCACTTCCAATTTTAATATTTATTCTGCATACAGAGCGTCCAATTCTCCTCCCAGGAGTCCGGGTTGATGTGTTTTTTTTTTTTTTTCAATCAATCAATCATGAAATGAATTTACCTAAAGGCGATTAGACCCAATTCCAGACTATCCGGGCCCATTTTCAGGATGATCGGGCCCAATCATCTTGGAAATGGGCTCGATCGTTTAGGCCCAATTGTTTGTAAATCGAATATATCCTCCATGCAAAAAATGTACTTTAGAAGTCCTTCCACGCATTTTGGAAAATAACGACCGATTTCCGCACAGATTTTTGCTGAAAATAAGCTTTGACCTAAGAATATATAAACAATGTACTACAGTATGCAATAATTAAGATTTTGCACACCTATTTTCCTAGCGATTTTCCGCGTAAATTTGGACTGGTTTTTGAGGTGTCATCAAAGCAATTAAAAAACTCAACAACTTTACAGTATGGCAGTCTGTGGCACAAAATTGGCATTGATTTTTTGGTATTCTGATGATATTCATTAAAAAAAGTCTCTTTATAGTATTCTACAACAAACCTATTTTTCAACAACCTCAATGATAATTTTTATAACAAATTTTTAAATTTCATTCTAGTCCATTAGTAAACGATGTAAATGTCGTGCAAAGTTTGAGTTTGAGATATTTGCACAATTTGCAAATTGTGCAAGCTCTTCCTTGCACAGTCTGTAAATTGTGTAAGAAAATCTTGCACAATTTGAAAAACTGTACAGGATTCTGCACAGTTTGTAAACTGCAAGGAGATTGTACAAGCACAGTTAATAAATGCATGGACAATTCGCAAACTTTTCATAGTATCAACTATAAAAAAAAAATTGATGAGGGAGGGCAGTATTTTTTAAAATTTTAACAATAGATTACTTCCCTTGTTATAATCGATGAGGGAGGGACTGTTTATATTAGGCTAGTAATAGTAAACATTGTATAAAAAGTGGTTTAATTTTATAGTTTTTAAAGAAAATGTATTTGAAGTCACAAAATTGCATTGTTATTTTTATGCTGTTAAATAATTGATGCGGCAATTTTTTTTTTTTTTTATTCCCCCATCAATATTTCCAGAATTTTTTACGTGGGCGGGAGTGATAATCTAATAAATTTTACTCTTTGACCTAATATCACTTTTCTTTGAAAAGTTAACACAATGATTTAATAACTTATTTAGTAATTGAACTACATGCTGTGCTGTTATAGAAAGTTAAATTACATTTAATAAAAAATAAAAAACAAAATTATAAATTTAAAATTAGGCCTAGTGCTGTGGTGAACATGGGGAAATCACCGCGGCTTGGGAGGCCACGCTAATGTCGAGTGCTGAAAATGCATGTCTATTAAAGTATGACTGCGCATGCATTATTATTTAACATAAATATATCAATTACTGATTTGTTTACAGCGACGTACAGTATGTAAATATATCCACTTAGAGATTAAAATAAATATATGATCATTTTAATTACGATTATCTTAAAGTCAGGCTCCGGAGGAAAAACATTTTTTGATATGTTGTAGAACTGATTTTTCTAAGACAGAAAAAAGTTGTTTGACGAAAAACTGGGAAACGGTGAATGAAATATATATTTTTTAATATTTAAAAACTGGGGGAAAAAAGGGGCGTAACTGCCCATTTTTACACCTTATTCCCCCTGTTTTTAAATATTAAAAAATCTGTGTATCTCATTCACCGTTTCCCCGTTCTGTCTTAGAAAAATCAGTTCTACAACATATAAAAAAATTGTTTTCCTCCGGAGCCTGACTTTAATAATAATAATAATATTAACTACTGACTGTAGGCTTACTGGCTACTATAGTGTAGGCAGGCTTTGTATAAAAAATAATATCAGGTATTATTATTAGAACACAATTGACTATCAAAGACAAAGTAGAATTTGAGTAACAAATTTTCCTAGCCTGGGCTAGCATATGACATTGGCCTAATAATAATAATAGAAGCTTACAGTACTAGCTAGCCTAAGCTTGCCTCATAAGGCTACTGTAGCAGAGGAACTAGGCCTAGGCCTACTACCATTGCCAGAAAGAAGGCCCGGCCGGGATACCTACAGTAGGGTGCAGGTCAACTCGGCCACAAGTCAACTCGGCCACAGTCAACTCGGCCACAAGTCAACTCGGCCACAAGTCAACTCGGCCACAAGTCAACTCGGCCACAAAAATTTCGGCTTCTGTCAACTCGGCCACAAGTCAACTCGGCCACAAGTCAACTCGGCCACAAAAAAATTGGCTACGTTCTACAGTCAACTCGGCCACAAGTTATTTAATGTAAATCTAAGTTTTTGCATCCTTTTTCTTCAATATATGATTGAAATAAAGTACACAGTATGTTTTAGTAAAACAAGACCACCACACTACCAAGAGATTTGAATGCTATTGCCTATGAATTAAAAAGTGTTTATTAATGTGTTCGTCTTCTGTTTACTCACAACATTCTACTTCAACAATAATATTAAACAACAATAACGAAAATAAATTAGTAATATTTACATTAATAATACTAATTAGTCATGACGATAATAAATGTGATAATAATAACAACAACATTAATAGTAATATTTATTTTAAAAAATAGTAATAATACTAGTATGGTAATAATAACGATATTTAAATATCAATTTTAATAACTAATTAGTGATAATAACGATATTGAAGGTGATAATAGCAATAATACAATAATAATAATATAATGATACTTATAATACTAGGCCTACTTAGTAATAATAGGGTAGTAATATCGATAATAAAGGTGACAACAACAACAATAATATTAATAATAATAATAATAATATGA